TACTAGGAGCCTTCTATTAAAATTTCAAGCTTTATTAACCAACAAATAACATTTTATTGATATTTTTAGAAAAAAAACTATAAATAAATGGAAAATGAAAATGTCCCTAAACAGTTCAAAATAAATCAAAATATTTTGAAAATGTTATCGTGTATAGAAAATGCAAATATAAAACACCAGGTAAAATTGCATATATCTAATGTAATTTGTTTTAAAGTTACACCAAAAACCAAATTTGATGTTATGAAAAATCGATTTTGTGTAAAAATTCCCCTTTTTAATTTTTTTTTTTTTTTTTGTTTTTCTTGGCACTTTTGAAATTTACTGGAAATTTTAAATTTTGACTTCCAAAATGCACCAACGACATTCACTTTATTTCGACTACTTTTCGTGTACACAGACACAAAAAAAATAAAAAAAATAAAAACACACATCATTAGAAAATCAATACATTCATCGTTCCACCCAGAATCTAAAATAAATAAAAAAATTTAAAATAAAAACAAAAACACTCATCATTGTAAAATCAATACATTCCTCGTTCCACTCAAAATCAAAAAAACCTAGAATAATTATTTTAGTTATTTCGTTGTGGTTTTATACTATTATTCGTGGGTACTTGAAACTTCTAAGTACACTATTATATATCTATCATAGTATCAGTTTTTGTTGTTGATGTATAACGCGTTATAAGTACGTAATGGATATTATGATATGATTAATTTGGAATTTATTATAGATCAATTTTTTTTAATACCATCGTTAAGTATGTAATATGTCTTAACGATGGTTAGTCTAGGATGTCAGTCTAGGTATAAGTATGTAATATCAAATATGCCTTCTACCTAGACTGACATACCGTCTCCGCTCAGAATCGTTTTTCTTTTACAATGATATTGTATCATTGAATTCAAATTTAATACCATCCATTATACATCGACCTACTTGTAACCTACTGTAAAGCAGTGCACCTTTTTTAATTTATATTTTATTGATAAGTGATTAATGATTACTAAAAGTATAGTTACTTCAACAGCAACATATTAATTATTATGTTGGGTCGCGTTCAGCTTCCTGTTACATTAAAAGAAATTGCCTTCAAGCCTAGAAGAATTTTGTTCATTTAAATTTTGATAGTAGGTATTATTAATGAAATATAATGTTGTGTTGGTATTGTCATTTATTTTACATTTTATTACATAGTGGGAAGCATTTTAATACAATGTTAACATTTTATTACTAGTACGTAGGTAGGCCCGTCGGCGCTAACACATAAACAAAACTCACCTGCGGTACGTTAGGTGGTGGATTTTATCCCACGCCAATCGTACCGGGGACGTAAGTAAAAACAATAATAAATACAACTGCACACGAGCGACCACCTAGCCATACCACAACGAAGAACTTACAGTATACACGAGGTTTGCGGCTGCTTATAGAACAAACACAAAACAAAATCACGATATTCACAATGACTCTGGTGAATAATGAACACCTTAGAAGTTGACAAAACAATTAGATGGGCAATAATATTGGGCGAACAATACTCACCAGAATCGAATTACAACAGTACAAACAAAACAGTAAAACGTGGTTTAACAGCAACAGACGAACGAAGACAACACATAGAAATGGCAAGACCGCATTGGGCGACGAGCAGCAAAGAACAGAGAAACGAATAGAAACACAAACTTGAACATAGCCGATTTGAACGGTAACTCACATAAACAGAATGTCATTGTTACCTGTTCAACAACAAGAAAGAACAAATAAACTAGAAACTTTTAGGTGACACTAACCCAACAACATAAATACATTAAAACAATACATATCGGAATTGCCATACTGGCTCTAACAATTAAGATATAAGTGTTGTACCTACATGTCATTGAAACTAATGTTGAGATTCAATCAATTCGTTTTACCAGATGAATAATTTATTTAATATTTAACATTTTATTTTTACAGATGCTTTACTTGAATTGAAAAAATATATTCTAGGCAGTACGTATTTATACAAAACTGTCTATTATTGTGTGGTGTACCTATTTCATATTTTTTTATTTATCTTTAACAATATCCTGGTTTGTGAGCTAATAACTTTTAAATATGTTTATATAAATATAAATTATATAAATGAGCACTAAATATTGAAGTTTTAAACAGCTGAAGTGGGTGGTGGTGGGGAAATGTACGTGAGTGTGACTTTTCCCGAGTGTATAGTACATTGGTCAGCTACACTTTATGTACTTAGCTATATTATTTTTAGGCTGTATTGGATATTCTCTTCGATTCCGATACTTGTTTCAGTGTGGTTTAATAAGTTCGAAAATTGACATAATGTAATCTTAATTTACATATTCAAAATATATTTTTAACTATATGTTCCTAGAATATTTCTTAATTCTTCATAATTTTTGGTACTTTTGAGCATAGTGGATGGGAATAATAGAACATTTATTAAGATAATTTTATTAATTATCTTATTTTGTAAGTTGTGAAATTATTATGATAGTCGTGCCTATATTACAAACTATACTCCGGCCGGAATAAGAACGTACCCGGGCGGATGTGCGTGAAGTTAGCCCCCCGAATTTGACATAGAGACTCCAAACTAGTGCCAATATTTAGCAACCTTTTAGCAACTTTTAGCAACCTACATGAAAAAATTTGCAACCTATTACTTCGTGACTAAAATCAGCATAATAAAACTGGGGGGCCAACTTCACGCAGCCCCCCGACTTTGTCATAAAGACTTCAGACTTGTGCCAATATTTAGCAACCTTTTAGCAACTTTTAGCAACCTACATGAAAAAATTTGCAACCTCTTTTTTTACCTACTTTATTAGGAAACAAGTTCGGGGGGCTAGCCCCCCGACTTTGTCTTATCAACTTCGGACTTGTGCCAATATTTAGCAACCTTTTAGCAACTTGTAGCAACCTACACTAAAAAATTTGCAACTTCTTTTTTTACCTACTTTATTAGGAAACAAGTTCGGGGGGCTAGCCCCCCGACTTTGTCTTATCAACTTCGGACTTGTGCCAATATTTAGCAACCTTTTAGCAACTTTTAGCAACCTACTTGAAAAAATTTGCAACCACTTTTTTTACTTACCTTATCAGGATACAAGTTTGGTGGGCGAGCCCCCCGACTTTATCCTACGGACTTCGGACTTGTGCCAATATTTAGCAACCTTTTAGCAAGTTTTAGCAACCTACTTGAAAAAATTTGCGACCACTTTTTTTACCTACTTTATCAGGAAACAAGTTCGGGGGGCTAGCCCCCGACTTTGTCTTATCAACTTCGGACTTGTGCCAATATTTAGCAACCTTTTAGCAACTTTTAGCAACCTACTTGAAAAAATTTGCAACCACTTTTTTTACTTATTTTATCAGGAAACAAGTTCGGGGGGCTAGATTTTTAATTCAACTGGGTTAGAAAGATAGAATAATTATTAACTATAAACTATTAAAAATTTTTTAATATATATAGAGTTATTGTCAGTTTTGAGTGTATGCAACGTGTTTTTGTATTCAACTTTGATTACTTATTATGGTTTGTTATTTCAACCATTAAATGTAGTTTTTGAATCTTTAATAAATGCCAGTTATGAACTCTGATGTGATTTACCTGAAGTTTGAAAGTTGTATTTTTTTTTTTGTTTCTTTACTTCTTATTAAGACATTTTATAATATTATGTTTATCATATTTTTTTGTTAAGTATTAAGGTTAAATAAAAAAAAATTGGTCCAACATTTTGTAGTTTTGTACTTTTTGACTGAAAGTAGTTTATTTAAATAGTTTTCTAACATGAAGATATATATTTGTTACTACCAATTTTAAATATAATGCACTGTGAAAAAAATCAAAAAAATTTGCAACCTATTACTTCGTGACTAAAATCAGCATAATAATAATGGGGGCCAACCTCACGCAGCCCCCCGACTTTATCTTATCAACTTCGGACTTGTGCCAATATTTAGCAACCTTGTAACAACTTATACTAGAATAATTATTAACTATATACTATTAAAAAAGTTTTTAATATATATAGAGTTATTGTCAGTTTTGAGTGTATGCAACGTGTTCCGCTTTACACGATCACGAGGATAATAATAAGTGTAACATATTGAACAAATTTAAAATTTATATATTTTGGATGTTAAACGTTTAATGAATATAAACTTTGATTACTTATTATGGTTTGTTATTTCAACCATTAAATGTATTTTTTGAATCTTTAATAAATGCCAATTATGAACTCTGAAGTGATTTACCTGAAGTTTGAAAGTTGTATTTTTTTTTTGTTTTTTTACTTATTATTAAGACATTTTATAATATTATGTTTATCATAATTTTTGTTAAGTATTAAGGTTAAATAAAAAAAAATTGGTCCAACATTTTGTAGTTTTGTACTTTTTGACTGAAAGTAGTTTATTTAAATAGTTTTCTAACATGAAGATAAATATTTGTTACTACCAATTCTAAATATAATGCACTGTGAAAAAAATCAAACCTTAGATTTATATTCAAATAAAAATGCTAGTTAAATTAAATTTGTATGTACACGGCCAAATGTGGCCTAGCGTTTAAGCATTTTGTTGTAGATATTTTAATTTTCTTTTGCAGATCATTATGCGTTTCCCAGCGGTTATCTGATCTCCGTATATATGATATGTAGTGTACCGAATGATACTCAATCACACCATACAACGCATATCTGAAAAATTTAATTTGTGCCTATACTATAATGTAATTTAACTTAAAAAAGTTAATAGTTTTTGAATAATTCTATAATATTCAAAACATATGACAATAATTTCATATTTATTTGATTTTAATTTTAAACTGTTAATATTGGTAAACTATAAATTTTTTTAATATAAATTTGAAGCAAATAGAGTTAGTAACTTGTATAATATTTAGAAGAAAGAATATAATATTATTGTGGTAATGTGGTAATAAATTAGAATAATATTAGATATTATTATAAATAGAATTAAAAATTGTACACATACTTGACATTTTCGGCTTCTAATTGAGTTGGAAACATCGAAAGTGGAATACTTTGATTTTCAGGCAAAGTATCCGTCTCAATCAAAAGGTGGTTCATTACAGTTCTTCTTGAAGATAATAACTTATAACAATAACCACATTCATAAACCTGTTCCTTTGTGTAATTATCCAATGAATTTTGAAGATTCTTAACGTCTTTAAATCTTAAAATTAACGTTGCGCTTTCAATATCTCTGTTATTATTATTACAACCATCTGTCGTGCACCGTATTTTTTCGATTGCGGATGGAGCGTTTACCAATAATTTTGTTGCAATGAACGCTACATTACACTGAGCATCAATCACTTTGATACGAGAAATATCATCAGAGCTCTTAAAAATCGGTTTTAATAATTCGAGTCGATCTGTGTATGTTTTTTTGGTTGGTCCATATAATGCAAGACTTTTGCAAAACCTCAACATGTTGTTTTCACTAGAGTCTACAAAAGCCGTATAGGTTTTAAAGTCTGTATATGCCATAGTTATTATTACTGCTAATGCATCAAACGGGCACGTGTTCATAACAATATATCTTTGTTTGGCTACATGCAATGGTGTTGCTATATTTCCATTGATAAGCAAGGTGTTCAAGTTCGACCGAGTGTTTTTTTTTTGCAATATTCTGTCGATTTCAGGAGTTTTTTCCATGTACGTTGTATTCCTTTTTCTTTTATATTTATTTTCACAGCCTTTGGGAAAAACTGGAATATTTGGCTTTCCTAAGCCACCCCAATTTTCAAATTTTTCAAGTGATTTTTCGGAAGTTGAATCATCGCTGGAATTTAATTTAGTCAGTGGTTCAATTCCTTCTAAATGCATGTACGATTCATTTGGTGAAACGGACCCTAATCTTTTGATGTCCAACGAATCAAAGCTAACATTTAGTATTAATTTTTCCTTTTGGATTGATTCAATACTTATTTCCTCCGGCACAGGAATTAGTGTATTCGTTTTTGTTGAAGATGGCAATATCGTCTCTGAATCTGAAATTATATAGTCTGATTCAACATCCACCTTCATAACAGATTTCTTATTAATTTCTATGTGATTATGTCTTAGCTGGCTACTTCGAAATAAAATTGAGCTGCCTTCGATTGATTTTAGATGTTTGGCAACAAACCTATCAGCAGTCATTGGTTTCGTTTCGAAACGGAGGATACGTGATTTCAAATCGGAGAAATCACTCTCCACTGATGCTGAAGATGCAATCACATATGGAGTTTGAAATTTGTCATTCATAACTCCAGTCCAGATCGGAAAATGCTTGCATAAACGTAAAATTGTTTTGGATAAGTTTGGAATAAAGTATGCAGAATCGCGATTTCCTTTTATTTTTGATTGCGTAATGGAAAATTGTTCAATATCTTCCAAATATTCTTTAATTCCATCAATAGGTTCCTCGCAATCATATTTTTCTCCATCCAAAACACTCTCTTCTACTTCAGAATCAATATCGGTCATATCTTCATAATTTATATCAATTCCTTTTATTTTGTCCAATAGCATTTTTCTTGCAGACTCCGCTGGTGTTGGCTCGTTGTTATACCATCCATCTGTTTCACTCATAGAAACTGTTAACAATGCCTTGAGAATATCAGTGAATTTTTCAAAAGAAACTGATGTTAACAGAAGTCGTAAACACCTCACGTAAAAGTGTTTTAAGTTTTTGTTATGTATCCCTTTAAAATATGGTATACGGCAAAATATTTTGATCATATGTGCCACGTCAATACGTACATAACACTTCGGTAAACTTTGTTCTTTTTCATGCTCAATTAATGAAGTAAAACATTTTTCTACGTAGCACTGCAAACTTAAATTACAAAAAGCCCTGGTTACGGCACCCAGTAAGGCAGCAGAGTAATCACAAACTACTTCATGTGGTACGCCAACCCCTGCATTCAACCACCGCGTAAGCCAATTACAAATTGTTAGGGTGTCTTGTTTCTCGGAGATCATTTGACATACAGGTATTTGGCCATATGAAGCATTTATAACTACTTCGTACAGGAAAATATGGGCAGACAATAAATCGAATGAAGTTCGTTTTGTTTTTTTGACAAGACCACCTGTTGCATCGATAGAAACTCTACAGTATTTTTTTAACATATCCTTAAATATAGTAATTTGATGATTACTCCAGTAGTGAACAAGTATTGGATCAATTCCAATTGAATGTATTGATCCAGAAAACTGAGAATGTTTTAGTTCTACCAATGATAAAACAGGACATTTTACAGTGATTCCTAATAGTTGATCTTTATGTTCTTGTTTAGCTTTACGTAAAACTTCATTGCGGTATAAGTTAGGAGGAGAAAAATTACCAAATTCCATATCTGTTGTTGCTTTCTTTCGCCTCCAATTACTGGGAATATCCGTAACCAGCTCGTTAGCAACTTTATCACGTTTAGTACCTCTCAGTGGTCTTTTACTAAAATGTATAGATTCCATTCCTCTTGTGTCGTTGGTACATATTTTTAACTCCAGTGGTTGTCCTCTAGTCGGTTTTTGATTACTCCATCCCTTTAAACTATTATTGCAATCTTTACAAGCAGCTACAAAATATAAAAAATATTGACTATTTGACATATCACTTCTGACTTTACATCGCTTGTACAAATAGTTACATGGTAGTTTAAGTTCTTGGATAATATAATCATTTATAATGTCTGACCATGTATTGGGCTTAAGAATTTCATACGTTCTAACACCCGCGCCATCTTTATACAAAACTATTTCTGGTTCCATTTCCATATATTTTAAATAAGGGATAGTTAATTCAAATGTTTTTTCATCCTTTTCGCGGATTTCTTCATCATTACTTGAAGAAGTTTCAGAGCTACCATTTTTAGTATAAGCACAGTCTTTGTCTATATAACCCAAATTTTTTTTAAGTTTAGATTGGTATTGGTGTCGATTTTGCAATACCGATATATATAAAGTTTTTTTGGGTATTTTATAATCGAGTTCCGAGTATAAAGTGTCCCATACTCCATGAGAAAGTCCTCGAAGTAACCCATCATCAAACATTTGTTGTTTATACTTTTCAAGGATATTGTATACATAATCTGGTTCAACTAAAGCCTTTCGACCTCTCGTTGCCTATAGTGAAAACAAAGTAAATAACGTAAATGTCTAGAAAATAAGTTTACATGAAAAATGTATTATTAATCAGACAATTCTATGATTTTTTCGAAAAAAATTTGGAATCAGTTAATGTGAAATCCATTAATATATATATAATTACAAATTCAATTTCTTCAAGTTATTAACAATTTATCAAAAAAAAAATAAAACAGATTTATTTCTTCTAAAATTGTTATTACGTTGTTCAGTGATTGACGTTCATCATTAACTTACACAGTTTAAGTTTGTTTATGGTTTTTCATTTTTTTGGTTGTCATGTTGCAAACATATTTTGTTTACGTAATTATGGTTATCAAATTTATTTTTACGTTTTTTGGGGCTCATTCTTTTTTTACGTTTATAATTCTTTATGTTTTTATGCAGTGTTTTAGATGTATGTAAAGTTGGGCTCCCGAATAAGTTAAATATATTCGAATAATATGTCAATATTTTGCAAATTAATTCCAAATAAATGCAAATTGATTTTCAGAATTTGCAAATAAGTCATTAAATTATTATAAACTAAAAACCATTACGGATGATAGTGAAGTTAGCCCCGTCAACTAGTCCAATCGACTCGCAACCTTTTAGAATTAAATTTTTAGAATTTGTAAATCAGAATTGCTTGCGCATTACATTTTCAAAATTGTACAGTGTATAGGAATTTCTAATCTGAACATTCAGTGAAATTTTCATGTATCTACAGTTATTCGTTTTTGAATTATGAAAATAAGGAAATCGACACATGAGAAATCAAGTGAATATCCAATGTTGTAAAAATTTGAATTTCAAACGCTCATAAAAATTTAATTTGACTTTCATATAGAATTTTTTTTTTGATAAATGTAGAAAATCTTATAAGGAATCATGTATTACATTTTCATATCTAAGATTTAAAAAGAAAAATTTTTATGAATTTCTAACTCGAAATAATTTTCAAATTTTCGTGATTTTTCCATATTTTGTCATTTTTTGAACTTTAAATGCTTAAAAAAAAACTGTGACTAACAATTTTTAATATTTTTCATCTGTCTTTGAAACAATATAGTAGGAGCCTTCTATTAAATTTACAATCTTTCGCAACCAACAAATAAAATTTTATTGATATATTTAGAAAAAAAACTAAAAAAAAATGGAAAATGGAAATGTCCCTAAACAGTTCAAAATAAATCAAAATATTTTGAAAATGTTATCGTGTATAGAAAATGCAAATATAAACAACCAGTGAAAATTTAATGTATATACTTTCATTCGTTTTAAAGTTACATCAAAAACCAAAATCGATTTTCTCGAAAACAGATTTTGTGTAAAAATTCCCGTTTTTCCTTAATTTTTCTTTTGTTTTCCCCGGTGCTTTTGAAAATTTCTGGGAATTTTAAATTTTGACCTCCCCAATGCACCAACGATATTCACTTTCCAATCGAACAAGATACTGAAGTTGAAAATCGAAGCATTATTTCAACTACTTATATCATGTACACACACAAAAAAATAAAAATAAAAAAACACACATCATTGTAAAATCAATACATTCATCGTTTCACTCAGAATCTAAAATGTATATTTGATAAAAAAAAATATTTAATATAAAAATTTCCATTAAAAAATTCAATCAAGAAGATTTGAATGATATTTTAATTTAACAAGTTTTTTTTTGTTGAATATACCTTGATTGAATAAAACAAATATAACTAGAAATAAAAAATCTTAATGAAAACTACACATTAAAAAACAATAAAAAAATCATATTTAAAAAAATCTATATTAAATAAAAAACTTGATAAATTAAAAAAAATAAAAAAATCATACAAATCTTGATGGACATTTTTTTATTAAATAGTTTTACTATCAAATATAGATTTTAAATATTTTATTTCCATTTTTCATTAAAAATCCAAATTCTTAGTCTTTTTTATTGAACGAAAAAATCATATTTACCAACGACTTACATTAATATGGAATAAACATAAATTTAAGATTCCAATTTATGGAAGCTGGGGAAATGGACCTGCTGTAGTGACGTCAGCACGCCTCGCCACTTAGATACTTGGTTTTGAGCGTCAGGGGTGGGTTACAAATGTTTTTTGTGGTTATACAAATAGTTACAAATGATATTACATCATTTTACATTAATTTTTATTAGAATAAGTGACAGTTAATAAAATATCTAAATTGTATAAAAAAAATTGATTTGGGGGTGTCTGAATAATTGTAGGAATTAATTAAATAACAATTACTTTTATTACATAATATATTTATAAATCATCGATTGACAGCATTTAAAATAAAAATAAGTAGTGACTATCAAAATATGATGATGTTTTTTTTTAGCAGATTTTATATAAGCTACAAACAAATACATACAAAATAATTTTTTAAAAAAAAATCGAAATTTGGGTCGCTGGGGAAAAATATCTGTTTTTTAGTGTCTAACGTTTATAAACAATAATTACGATCTCTAAAGATTTTTAAAATTAAATTTTTTTGTTATTTTGAGTTTAAAAATATTTAAAAATGAATTTTTCTATAAAAATTTTTACGTTTATTACGGTTATTTTGTATTTTAGGCATTTCTGAATTTTTGTTTTTTACTTCAGTAAATTTCTTACGTTGATTCAATATTATTTTACGTTAATCGACGATTTATGATTTTAAATTTTTTACGGCGTTACTTTTTTACGTTTTACTAATTTTTTACTTTAAGAATTGTTTAATATGTTAATTTCTACGGTGGTTTACGTTAATGTTTTTTAAGTGTTTTTAGTTTTTTTTATAGTTTTGTCTAAGGTGAAATAAATAAATAGGGAGGCTTCAACAAATTTCAACATATTTCGTACATGGACAGAAAGGGTATTTATAAAACCATATGAAACTGTAAAAAATGTAAAATTTTTAAAATACTGTTGAAAAAATGTAAACAATTTTAAAAACAATTAAAACGTATCAAGACCATTCAATGTCCTGATTCATATCACGTAATTACTATGTAATAGTGAAAATTATCTTTCTTTCAACAGTAGACAAAATAATGTAGGTACATGAAAAGATATTGAAAAAATAGTGTGGCACAGTTATAACATTTTTAAATATACAGCTAAACGATAAATGATTTAAATTACATGCATAAAAAGTAGTATTGAAATAAAAATAAATTCAAAAATATCCAACGTGTAGCTAGCCGGATTTGCCAGAACTAATCGGACCATCAGGGGTAGCGTGAATTTGGTCCCTAATTTTGTTTTTTTTTTTATTTCTACGTTTTCTGCTGATTTACAAATTCTTAAACTACATCAATAATAACTTAAATAAATAATCATATAAGTATTGAAAATCGATCACCGTATTTGTTGATCTTAAAGCAGTGCCGCATTTAGACATTTTGCGCCCCGGTGCAAAAAAAAAATTGGCGCCCCCCAAGCCCCGGTGAAAAAAAAATTGCTCCTCCCACGGAAAATATGTGAGGTAGATCCTCATTACCCTTTAGATTTTGAGCGAAGAAAAGAATATTTGTTTAAGAGTGCTTTTTTAAAAAAATATTGTTTAGTAATTGCTTGATCCCTCCGCAAAGATATATTGGAATTTATGTCACTCAAACCTTGCTAATAATTTAGTATCATTAAGTTGTTTTTTTTTTTTAAACATATTTAAGTAGGTACTTCATGGATAAATAAAATAAAATTATATAAAACTATGCAAATAAATATTTTATATTTTATTGTATATAGTATTTTATAAAATTAATGTAACTATATACAGGGCTGGTAGTGGTTTAAGCTATTTAAAAAAAGTGACTGAATTTATTTATAAAAGTGACAAAAAAGTGACCTGCATAAATTTGTTTCATAACAACTTGTCAACTTACCAGTTATTAAACATTAATTATTTTTGAATCTCTACATACCTATAGTTTAATTGATTCTTACTTACTTAATTTTGTAGAAATTACAAAAAATAATGATTATAATAAACACAAAATTTAATAGCAAATAATTAAATAATATTACCTATTTAAATGAATGATGTTTATAATATAGAATAATATTCAAGATCATTGTTTTGGAACTTCCTTTATTTTAATCATAAGTACAAAACTATGTAATATAAAATCAATACGCCGTATTGGTATTGCCCGTATTATTATAAATAACTGATGTCTATTGACATAATCACAACAAATTTGGGAACTAGGTATATTAATAATTATCGATCGCTGTAGCTATATTGCTATAAATACATTGATTGTTTAAATAATAAATTTCAAACAGCATAATTATTATACTATAATAATATATACAATACTATTATACTAGATTATATTATATAATACTGTTATAAAAATAATTTAAAGTATACAATTTTAAAAAATCATAAGTAAAGACATTTCTGTCCACAAAATTTTGGCGCCCCTAAAATACTGGCGCCCGGGGCAGTTGTACCCAGTGCCCCCCCTAAATGCGGCCCTGTCTTAAAGAAACAGTATTACATATTTTCTAGATTTACAAATTCGGGGATTGTATTTCCAAATTAATATTTATTATGCTCTGTTATACATTAGGTGTCTAGAGAGTCACTGTAATGGTTGTGTTAAATTTTAATTCAATAATCATCGTATACTCAAAACGATTCTAATATGCAAAATAAAATGTTCAGTGTAACTTATTATCGTTATGAAATATATTTATACATCACTCACCTTGTTCTGGCACCTTTCTGGATAAGTATGAAAAAACTAGAAATACTCAGCCCTAGTAATCGTAATCAACGTTAGGATTTTAAAGGCATTAGCATATTACTTGTAATTTGTAAAACAATTAAGTAATGTCAAAATAAGTATCACATTTGTTTCAAGATTCAGAAAATTGAAATAAAAAATTTATTTTGCATATTTACACAATATTAAGTGC